CAATTATATATACTTATTTCAATAAAAAACAGTTGAATTAGACTAAATATGTAAAAAAAAGAAAAACATTCCAAAAAAGTTTAGTTACATTTAAAAAAAACTTATCTATAAATATGTATTAATATTTATTAGGACCGCCTTTTGCAGCAATTACTGCAGCAGTCGACGACGCGTACTTCGCAACTCTAAACTGACTTTAGGGAATCTTTTGAGGATATTTTATATTACCGGATCCTTTTATCTAGTAAATTCCAAATGTGCGGGTAACTGCTTTGTGTTATACATGTTTAAAAGCGACTTTCTCACAAGATAAGAGTAATGTTTATCCATATTGGTATCTATAAATACCAGTTTCCCAACTCTAGATGTCGCCATACACCTCCAGACCATCGCGTTTCCGTCTCCATGCTTCACAGTTGCAGTTAAACTTTTTAGCTGTAGAGCAGTATTGCGTTTTCTCCATACTTTTTGAGCCCCATCTGATCCAAAAATGTTAAATTTGGATTCGTCACTCCAAATTACTGAATCCCAAAATGGTGCTTCTGAGCAATGCAAAGAAGAAAATTTACCGTTTGAAATGTTGAAATTGACTTAACAGTAAAAGGGTCAGATAAAGTGTACCTAAACTATTTTGGACTGCATTTATGTAGTTTAAGCCTTTTTTGGTACATATGAAGAAATCAAATTTTGTTTTGCCTATTTCATAAATAAATACCTCTCTTTTTTGCCGACTGTCTATTTTATATTCAAAAATTAATAAAACTCTCAGATATCCAACCATGTTTTTTTGAATATACTCATTTATATACCCTGAACCAATTTTCAATGGGAAATCAAGGTATATATGTTAAAATGTATGTAACAGGCAGAAGAAGGCGTGGCAGACCCCAAAAAGTATATCTATTCTTGATCAGGGCGACAAGCTGAGTTGATTTAGCCATGTCCGTCTGTCCGTCCGTTCGTCTGTCCGTATGTTTTTAAACGAGTCGATTTCAGAAGATATAAGAGCTAGAGACTTGACATTTTTTTCCAAGGTCAGTGTATAGCACGCGCATATTGAGATTTGCTTTAATTTTGTTAACGATTAAAAACATTATTGAAAACCAGTAATAAATTTATATCTCCTACATCTTTAAAGCTAGCCTCTCCAAATTTTATATATATACTTTTATGGATATTATACAGTTTCGGTTTTTGCCCCCCACCTCTAATTCACCCCCTCATCTTCACATTTGTAAAAGGCGTATTTCAAATACTATGGCTTGTGCTTTGGCAATACATGCATATTTATGTTATAGTCTGAAAGTTTCATGTAGATAGTCCATTCACAAGAAAAGTTTTAAACAATTAAGTTCCCATAGTAAGCCAACACTGCAGCCAATGCGTGTTTATGCGTGCGTACGTATRTCTGTGTGTGTGCGTGTATGTGTGCATATGCGAATAATTATTGAAATAGCTATTGCTCGAGGCGTTCAGGGGATTTCGTAGTCGAGCAGTCTCGATTAGAGC